TATTTCTAGATTGTTATTGCAGTGTAGGATGGTTGATTTTACATCCAGTTAACCATTTTGGTGCAGTTATAACAACGCCTGGCGACAGGGGTGGACAAACGGGTCAATTGTCCCAGACTCAGGACAAAATTGAGACTCTGGGTCTGTTAAAAAAGACAAACCCTTAAAGACCCTGAAACTGTAGCTCATCACAGATATAAGCCTGAAAGTGCACATGAGCAGAAAAAGATAGCTAACGGGTCGAGCACGTAGGACGGCCTTACTTAAACATATCACCAGAGTGATTGACAGTTAGAAGGACGACTTATTTAGATGATCCACCAGGAAATAAAAGATCCTCCTCTATACCTTTAAGTACAATTTAAAAAATACCTTTTTTTCACATAAAATAAAAAGCTGACATTTTTATTCAAGTCCTTAAAGCGTTTCTAGTACGATCTGGAACTCGTGTTTCTCATTTTGAAAGCCTCTCCCTCACTTCTGTCATCTGAAGGTTTACTTCATCTGGGTGACCCGCACACAGCGTCAGTTTGAGTGGGTGTCCGACATCATCAGGGAGGTGGAGGAAATGGACACTCAGGAGCTGGTCTCTGTTCACACGTACATCACTCAGGTGGCAGAGAAGTTTGACCTGCGCACCACCATGCTGGTGAGATTAACCAGAACATCACTTCAAACCATTTCCTAGTCAGAGATTATTTATCAACAGGAAGTCAAATGTTTGGATGGACGTAGGACTATTTACTCTCTTTGAAGCTTCCTTTTGATATGTGCTGAACAGAGGGGTAAGAAGTATAAATGTTTATGTCTCAGTAGAAGTAGAAATCCTACTGTTTAAAAATCTGCTTTGTAGAAGTTTGTGAATAGGAATTTATTTCAGACAGTTTTCTGGCAAACAATAAAACGCAATAAATTAATCAGAGAAATTAACACAAAAGAGACTAGTTAAAATCAACCAAACCAAACTCCTATTTCCAAAGTAACTAAATCCATCCATCCGTTTTCTGTCACGCTTATATAAGCGGGTCGGAAGGGGTGATGTGTCTATCTCCATCTGTCTACAGGTGAGAGGGGGGGGTCCATCCTGGACAGGTCTCCAGTCCATCACAGGGCAACACAGAGACAAACAACCACTCACGCACACACTAAGGAGAATTTAGAGAAACCAATTAACCTAACAGTCATGTTTTTGGACTGTGGGAGGAAGCCAGAGTACCCGGAGAGAACCCACGCATGCTCAGGGAGAACATGTAGACTCTATGCAGAAAGACCCTAGCCTCGTGAGACCATCCTGATCTCGCGAGCTTTCAAGGTTTCACTCGCAGATCAGTCTGGAGACTCTCCGTTGAAGAAAATTTGGAGCCGTTCACCAAACGAACGTCCAATCAG